CAACCTCTAGATTTCATCCAAGGCTTCATATTCTCCTGAATATCTTGAAATCTTGTTCTGTCCCCTAATTTCCTTCTTCCTTCCACACACCAGCAAGAAGCACCATGTGGCTGAGCTGCTTGTGAATCTTGAAGATGTGCAGTGTCTGAAAGTTTGTGACACATTAGCAGAGCGACATAGTGACAACTCCATGCCTGTGCACTTCAATAAGCTAGTTATAAACAAGAGGGTTTCTCTTCTAATGTTCTCAGTCCTTGCTACCACACTGGAGAGGGCTGGACTAATGAAGATTTCCTCCTGTGAGCTCCATGAGGCATCTGCACTATTCCTTCTCAACTCATTACAGTGAACAGAACATAGACCAGAAAAAGCATCCTTTGCTAGCTATAAATCATGAGTGACACTAAGGTATTGCTATTAGCAGCAGAAAAATGCTTTCCTCCCCCAGCCTCATCCAGCCTGGTGTACATACAACACTTCGGCAAAGGGTGATGGGATGGAAAATTAAATAGAGGTTGTGTTGTCTGGAGATAAATTGGTACCTCCCTCGGCGTGAGTGACTTTGTCTTTTTCTGATTTGTCTTTTAACTTAAAAACCACTGAGAATAGAGATAAGGATGAGCTTTAAAACCCTAGCCTTTGTCCCCTCCCAGGCTCTCCTGAACAAGTCCTGTCTCTGAAATGAGCTCAAAATGAAGATAAATGTTCTGGCAGTAATATGCAATATTATTTTTGGCACTCGAAGAATCTCAAGATAGATAAGGGAAAACTGAAAGGAAGACAAAGCTCTGTTTTTTTCAAATGTAAGGGACCAAATTCTGCCTACCCATATGAACCCAGAATCCTTTCTTTTTTTCCAGATTATTGCAGTAATTCCTGATTTTCACCAGAGTAGCTGATTATGGGACCCTATTTAAAACCCAGCACATTCAGAGACCCTGGTGGAATCACACAATAACAGAACTGAAAGACAAAGGCATGTGAAGACAGTGCCAACTCCCCAGCTCCTGCCCAAAGGCTAATTTGGTTTTGGACCATGTTAACTGTAACAATGATAAGATTAACACCTGATATCAAGGGAAAGGCTGAACTGTCTGAGACCTCCTTCAGCAGAACAGAACAGAATTTGCTCCAGCCCCTCTGGCATATTAGCATATGTTAGAGGAATGGCTTCTTTCTTGGACTAGTATGTATTTCCCTATAGAGCCTTTGTGCAAAGCTCAGAGCAGTGTTTCTGCTGATATATTTGTGGGTATGTTGAATAAAACATGTACCATTTAACATTGTTTGCTTGGGCTTCCATGGAGAATGGGAGAGGGCACCAACTACTGCAGGGCAGACAGCCATGAGAGGCTGAATCTGGCCTTTGTAGGAGCAGGATGAAGCACAGGCAAATGCAGGAGCATGTCATGTTTTTGATTCTGAGAGAGCCCTGACCAAAGGACCCAGCTCACCTCGCATTGATTGAAGTGCCAGCTGTATATATTGCCTTAAGACAAGAAAAAGTAAAAAGCCCAAACCTTTGCTCTCTGTACGTGCATTACTTACAGACATGTATGCTTTGAAAATTAAATGGGAAAGGATTTTCAGAACAAGCTAAGTGTTTTAGAGGCAAAATTTCTAGTGCTCAGAAAGGCTCCTGTGTCCAAAGCACAGCCTGTGCTCTGCAAATTTCAATGTGCTTTGTCAAGGCTGGAAGTTTGATAAGAGATTCTGGTTCTCAAGAGCTCTTAGAGCATCCTGTTCTAGGGAACAACAGTTATTGATGCTGCTGGTTTTAACTATGAAGTTGTCACAGCTGTTTTTGGATTTGACTGGCATGTGAGGAATAGTTACATGGAATAGCTAGAGACATTGCCACCTGTTGTGTCTATTCAAAGTTAGTAATTTTCTAGGCAATTAAGAACTGTTCAGTGGTACATTTTATAATACAATATTTGTATGATGTGACCAGAAGGAGCATCCTAGCATAAAAAATAGGACATTTCTAAAGGAATTCAGAATCTCCCTCCTAAAAGCTCTGAAATATTCTCAGGTCAGTTCAGAGAAGCAGCATATTGAGAAGGATGTCAGCAAGAATCAGGAAGAGCCCTAGAGGAAATTGGTTTGTCCACCAGGTACAACACTGTCACCAGATAAGCTTTGATGAAACACTTGTTCATTTTCATTTCTGTCACCATGCTTCCAGCTCTGAAATTAAATACCTCATCCCTGTCAGCTGTTGTGCCAGTGACAGGAGTTGTTCTGTCCCATGCCAGCAACACCAGGGCCATCTCTGCTGAGAGAAATTCGGCTGGCCTGGCAGTCATGAATTTGCCTTTGGCAAGGAACAGGCAGTGGGAAGATGACTCTGAGATTATCTGTAACTACTAAAGTATATGCTGTTGACTCCCAGAGAGCAGGATCATACCTGTCCTGAGCTCTAAATAGTTCAGTAGTTCAAAAAGCTGCTGGTCTTTCATTTCATGGAGCTGATCATGGCAGTAAGGCCATCTTTTAGCTGAGTGTTAATATTCGGGGAATATCTCCAAGAGATTTCTGTTTCATGGAAACAAATTAATTCTTGTCTTCTATGCAGTCACAATAGTCAGAACATACTCTTTATCTGTTCTGATCACCTTTTGTTAAGCAGCTTTGCTTCCTTGCTCCTCACTGCTCTAGTTCTGTTTGGTTTGGGACACTAAGGCCACTTCCCCTCAATAGAGGCATCATAGTTTTCCACAGGAGCAGCTGTGCACAGCTAAGAGCTGGTTTCCTTGCCAGCAATGGGTGTGGAAGGTTGTAACTTTTTCCAATGGCAGGGAAAAAACAGTGAGCTCACTGGCACAAATCTATCAGTGAAGCTGCACAAGTATATTAAACAGAGCAAACAAGAACACTGCTGTTACCTTTCAAGTAAATAGTTTTCCCTTCTCAGTTTGCTCCAGCATAAAAATCCCTCTGCCCTGTACATGCCACTGGCAGTATTTATTTTTGAAGAACTTGGATCTGTTTATTTATTTATCCATATTTAGTTTAAAAGTCTGAGCTCAAAATTAAACAGTCATTCATAATGTCATTATCTGCCTTGCTCTGCAGTTAGATACCATGTGTGGTGTCACAGGACAAAACCTTTGGCAAGGCCTCTAGAAGAGCAATTTAGCTCCTCATCCATCTTGCCTGGCACTATGATTGGCTTCCAAGCTTGCACTGCTAAATTTGTTATTTTACTCTGACTTATATTATTGAGTGTTAAATCACTTTCTGAAGTGTTTATTGGTAATAGTTGAATTCTTTCCACCCATTTGAACTACTTTTGAAACATAAACATTTCCTTATATCTTGGAACTTGATAGCAAGGTGGGGAGAGTTCCTCAGGAGGATGGATTGTATAAATGACCAGCTCATTAGGTAAGGACAGAATTTACCAGTGCTGTGGAGGATGATATCCTCCTCCTTCCATCAGGATGAAGCAGCAAACTCCCACAGCCACTCCACAGCACTCACATGAAGAAGGTTAACTTGTGTCTTGTTCTCCCACCATGTCTTGGCCTGTCAGGAAGCAGATGACCCATTTACTGGAACAGCAATGGCTTCCTGACAGGATCTTCATAGATCCTGAATCTCCCTGGATAGAAAGCCAGGCTGTGATCTGCAGGATCAGGTGCTGAGGAGGTTATTAGGCATCAACATGCCCATGCTTCCCAGTGTGAAGTGTGGTCTGCAGCCCCTGCCTGGAACTGATGTCTCTTGGGAAGGAAGCAGAAACAACTTTTTTATACCTATTTAGGAAAATGGAGCAGAGGATCAGAGAGCAGAAATAAACAAAGAGCTTAAAATCTAGTGTGGAAGTTGGAAGCTGAGCTGGAGAGCAAGGGCCAGAGGCAGGTCAAGCTGAAGAGGAGGCGGAATTTCAAATAAGCCCTTTGGCAATTGATCTCTTGAGGATCCAGATGTGACAGCCCAGCAGCCTGATCCAGGCCGGTGTACTCAGTACTGCAGGTCCTCTTACCTCTTGCCCTTGCCTCAGGGAAGACCTACAAATCAAAGTTTTTATCTTCATTTTATTTTTAATGTGGAGGTCTGTTGAGTCTCTTTCCTGCATCTGGGAGTTACTTTCCAATCTGAGTTTTAACACAGAATTTTAGAGATGACACCAAGATCACTGTAGCAATCAAGGCTCCTTTGATGGCAGCGCTAAAAATACACTCCCCAGCTGACACAAGCCTTCAGGAGAAGAACATAGAGTTTGGTTTGAAAGAATACATCTTCCTTAGTATCCATGTCTTCTGCCAGAGGACACCACATCTGTGACAACCATGCAAGCAGGTTACATCTGTCTTCTGAAATGAAGCACCCACATTCAGACCCATACTACCTTCAGCCTCAGCAAGGGGAAAGCTTTAAACCCTCTGAGTGCCTTGAAGGATGGTTTCATTGGCAGCTTTTTGCCTCTCTGGTCATGTTGGCATATGTCAAGTTATTGCATGCCAGGACCCACATCTTAGGGTCTTCAGCAGCTTGGCTTTGGCAATCCCTTAGGAAAGGAAAGAGCCAGGGATCAGCTGGGGCTGTTCAACAGGACTGAATCTGAACCTGCCTGCTTCCCTTCCTGCTCTCCACCCTGCTAATTCCAGGGTGTTGGCACACAAGTCCTGGCTAATGAGGCATTCCCAAAGCCCTGCTTCTACACTTGTAAAGGAGACTGTGGTAAGTAGTGCCACTGCCACCTCCTGGGCTTTCTGAGGACTTGAGCAACCTGAGACTTTGAACCGTGGGTTGCAAATGCAGATTTATGCAAATGTTGAGCAATAGATCATGGATTGCCCAGCTTCAATCTGTGCCAGCCCACTCTCTCCCCAGGTCAGAGAAGTGATGGCACTAACAAGCAGGTGTTTGCAGAACAGAGTGCAGGTCTCCCTCCCCTTGGAGTCATTAGCTAAAGATGGATCATTAAGGCTTTTGGCTAGGAGATGTACAGATGGACAATCACACAGAGTATCAGCTCCACATTTGTAATGTGTAATGTGTCAGGGGGTAAAAGGTTGAGCAACCCACTTTGGCAAATGGAAATAGCAAGAAGGGTGTATTTTTCTGGCTAAATGAAAGCGTTCTCTGTGTGTTATTTTTTTCATGTATCTCCATGCATAACTTGAACGCAGTGAAAGGAAAAATTAATTTCTTTGGTCAGACAAAAATACACCAGATTTATTGTTTTGAGAGATACAGAGGGTATTTAGGATTTCTACATGGCTGCTCTAGCTATAATTGGCAGCATAAATGTTCTGTCAAAAAAAGGCATTCACCCAAGAATGTCTCTGGGCTCAGCCAGCCTCAGTCCTGGAGGTGGATGTCCCATCCCTAAACCTCTGTGGGCAGTGCTCCATTGTCAGGAGTCTGTTTGATGCTCCCATTTAGGGTGTTGGCCCTGAAGATGTAAGACCTCCCTCTAACTGAGCCTTCAGTGTGGATGCTTTCAGGCTTGTTCTGGCAACGGAAGAACATAAGGAAGCCATTCCTGTAGTTCTTGTTCATCCATCCATAGAGCAGGGGGTTGACAAACGTAGAGCACATGGCCCCAACATGGAAGACAGTGTACAGGAGTTTGTACTCATGGAAGATAAGAACCAGATCAAGATCAATGGCAAGCTGGAATATGTGGAAGGGGAGCCAACAGACTGCAAATACCACAACAACCATCACGAGCATTTTGGTTGTCTTCCTCCTCCGGCACTGGTTTTCATTTCTAGAAGTGGGACTGACATGGTTTTTCAGCTTGAACCAGATCCTGGTGTACGCATAACAAATAATTGCAAGAGGAAGAACATACTGAAGGAGGAGCATGGACAGGCTGTAGATGGTGGCATCTCTGTTGTTACCAGAGGGCCATTTTTCTGAGCAAACAGCCATTTTGAGGTTAATGGATGGGATTTCCTCATATCGGTACTCCCTGAAGATGGCCAGAGGCCCTGCTAGGACAGCTGCTGCCAGCCACATGACAGCTATGATGGTGAAGCTGAGCCTCTTGGAAATCCTGCTGTCCAGATGGAAAACAATACAGCGGTACCTATCCAGGGCAATCACAGTCAGGGTGAGAGTGGACACATGGACACTCAGAGCTTGAGCATAAGGAACCAGGTGACAAAGGACAGCTCCAAACTTCCACTCATCCAGCAGGGTGTACACTAGGGTGAAAGGCAGACAGAGTGTGTCCACCATCAGGTCTGCCAGGGCCAGGTTAGCTATGAAGAAGTTGGTGACAGTCCTCATGGTCTTGTACTTCACTATGATGTAGATGACCAGGGAGTTCCCAATAAACCCCAGCAGAATGATGAGTGAGTAGGCAGCAATCAGGATGACCTGGACCCCCAGGATCTTGGTGCTGTCCATCATGATACTGTGGGATCCGGAGAGATCCTGGGTAGGAGTGACAAAGTCCTTGGCATGCCAGCCATGTGGTAGCTTCTCATCTAATGCTGTCTTCTCCATGGTGAATGTGCTGTTGGCTCCCTCCAATGGTCCCATGCCTGGCCCAAGACTTTCCATAAGGAGGAGAAGGAGGTCTGGAACACAAACATAGCAGAAGTGAGAGCATGGGTTACATTCATCTTTGATGAGATTTACTTGCCTACCAAAATTCCCTAACACCTTAAGAAGTAGGAAAAGAGAATAACAAGGCACTCTCAAAGTCAAGGTGTTCTTCTCTACCTCCCCGCAACAATTTATTTCTAGAACGTGCACTAGGGTTTTGTTTTTTTCTGTTTCTTATTTCTCACTTCTACAGATGAAAATGTGTCCCCCCCCTCTGCATAAGTCTCTGCCACTGCTGCTGCTAGTGATGCTACCACCCAATCCACCCAGTACTGTCTGCTCTCCCTCCCAGTAATGTGGGTAGCATAACTAATGCCATTTTATGATCCATTATCAATGATCAAATGTGTTGCATAGTCATTCCCTGACCATCAAGATCTTGTGAATCAATCATACAAACCAGCTTTCCTCTTTCTTTCCCTGCCAGTCTCACGGTTCCCAGGCATCAGGCTGGGAATTGTTGCTTTCCTTGCTGGCTTTGAAGGTCACAGGCATCCAGCCAGGCAGGTGTTGTTTGTGTCCCCATCACAGGAGAGGGAAGTGTGACAGCACACAGAGCTCAGTTACAACCCTAAGTAAGAAACTACTGGACAGTGAGACCCATGAACCCTATGGCCAGGAGATACCTCTACCATCCTCTGCTTTCTCCAAGGATTCAGTGAATGGCTCATATTCTTCTATGAAATTTTTGAGCCTAGATTATGATTGTTACAATGATACCACAAACCATGTATTAGGATTTGGCCCAATCTGAAGAGGGTCTAGGTGATTATAAATTATAAATTGTATTTTAAGTTCAGTATTTCTTAGGTGATTAGAAATCATAAATTATTTATAAATTCTGTATTTTGCCATTTGTAGATTGTACTGTGTTGATTCTGCTTGTAGAAATCCGGTGCTGTTTCAATCATAAATTCTGCTCTACACTAATCATAATACCCTGATAAAGAAACAAAGATTTAACTGTCATCATGATTTAGTGCCATCTTCATTCTGCCAAAGATCCCTAAAAGAACCTCTCTGTCCTCTCAGTGTTGGTGACACCCAGGCATCCGCTGGCTTAGCAGAGGAGGGAGCTCCTACAGGGACATGCATGTGCAGGACATAAACCACTGAAGCTGTGAATAAGCCTCCCACGGAGCTGCTGCTGAGCATCCAGGCACAGACAGGCCGAGAGCCAGAGCTGCAGTGTCCATCAGCCTCCTGCCACGTGGTGCTCAAATGCCTGCGTGGGATGGCTTTGGAAGCAGGGAGCCTGAGAGGCCACAACTGACGCAGCCTGGAACCCCTGGCTGGCATTAGGTGCGACTGGAACAGCAAAGTGCTGTCACAGCAGGGTGTTCATTGAATCCAAGCACAGCAGGAGAAAAGCCAGCTCTGTTACTGGCTCCTCCTCAGCCTCCGTGGCTCAGAATTGCTGTGGGCTTTGTGGAGAGGGGTGGACATGGCCCCTCACATATCCCCACTCCCCAGTGAGTAGGGCCCCACTCCCACTGCAGAGGAGAACTCATTTAAAAGTGAGCAAAAGTCGTCACTCTGCCCAAGCAGGGAGGTCTGCAAAGCATTGTGTTTTCTCTGGCCTGCAGAGAGGGGAGAAAATGCTCTTTCACTAAGGGAGGGAGGCAGAGGGCTTAAATGAAGTGGGAATTAGAGGCAGACTGCTGGGTATCTTCTCAGGCTCGAGAAGAAGTTTGAGGAAGAACTGGGTTTGTCCCAGAAAATATGTGGGCACTGCTGACTGGGTGCTGGTGGGCTTCCTGCAAGTCCCATGCAAGCCAAAGGTTTAAGGACAGTCTGTACTTGGGAAGGGAGAATGCTTTGCAATTACATTGCAACCCAAGCCTGCTTGTCCTGTCATCCCTCCTCAGAGCAAGGGGTGTGATTCCCCCTCAGGAGCTGCTCCCGGGAATCTGCTTGGCCAGCTGCAAAGCCAGGACCCTGCAGAGGCCCAGAAGAGCTGCCTGCAGTAAAACCACCCCTGCTGGCACCCTTTCTCTTTCCCTCTCCATGTCCAACTGCCAGCCTAACATCTCACCGAGATGAGTCTCACTGGGACTGATTTATGCCAGTGGTTCCTGTAAATGAGGCTGTTGGGCTCAGACACTGTGAGATAGTGGACACCATGTAGCTACTGCTAGGAGGGTAGGAAGCAGAGATAAAATGGGTGGGTCTGCTAGGGTCAGGGTTTGTTTAAGGGTGATCTCAGACCTCCACAACACCCCTGCCCCAGCTTTGGAAAGACCAAGGAGAAGATCCAGTTGCTAAGGAGAGAGAAGCTCAGAGCCATGCCATACAATGGGTGCAGTGGAAAGCAGAGCAGGGGAACAGCAGGGCCCTGGGAAGGTGGCACAGTCACAGCCTCTTTGGCAGAGCCTGACCCCGTGGCAGACACCTGTGCTGCAGCTGGCCCTGAGCAAACCCCACTGCCAGGAGAGCAAGGTCAGCCAAGGAAACAGAGCAAGTGCTAGGGACACTCTCAGTGACTGTACTTTCCCTGCTTGCCACCCATCTGGGATTTAAACCTTCTGGATTGTCCAGCATTACTTTATCACTTGTTATCCCCTTTCCTGTGGCTTGCCTGTTCCATTTATCTTCAGTACCCTAGTTCTGGCATCACACCAATGGACACTCCCTTCTCTTTTTCTCCATCTCATCCACCAACTGGCTGCCAGTTCCCATGCTCACATCTCAGCCTAATTTCCTTTTGCTGGAGACTGGCAGCTACCCACCAGCTGAGAGCAGCCAGGAACATCATGGTTACGGGAGCTGCTTTGCTTCCTAACAAAATGGCCTTAATGGAGTTACTATTTGATTTTGTTTGGTTTGTTTTTTCTCCAAAGGGGAAATATTACAAATCAATTAAAACATTTTAATTAAGAGACAAAATGATTATAATACATGTTCCCACTCCAGGGGCTGCCCAGAGGTTGCTGGGATGCTGCTAGGAGTGGACTGAGGTCTGTTCCTGCAAGTAATGGAAGTGCTGGCATATGTGTAGGCTGCTGTCAGGCCTCGTGCCTAACGGGCCTGCCAGACTAGATTGAAAAAATCCTTGGAACTGAGAGACAACTGCTTTTGGGGCAAGAAAGCAGCAGGAGAGATCAGGAGGAGGCAGAAATACTACCCAAGTCCTTTCCTCTGTGCCGAGTTGTCATGAAGGGATGCAGAAACAGGCTGATGTTATCTTGATAAGCCTAATCCTCACCCTCTGCTCCTGCTGAGGCTCAGCCTGAGGCAGGGCTGGGACCCAGGGATGGCTCCCAGCACGACAGAGCTGTTCCCTGTCCAAGCAGGCTTCAGCCTTTGGGAAGTGGAGTAGCACAGAGGAGCCCTTCACTGCTGTCAATGACTGGGACAGTGACCAAAGTGACGGCTCCAAAATCCATTCCTAGAGAGGCCCATGACCAGGTGCCCTGGGACTCATCCACCTCTGCTTCCTGGAGCGCCCCAGCTCCCTCCATGTCCCTGCTGCAGCTCCAGGCATTCAGCCAAACTGGAAGAGATACATCCAGACCTGGAAGAGCCATCTGAAAATCTGGCAGGGTTCAGAAAACAGGGCTGGAGGGGTGGGAAGAGGGCTGGAGAAAACAGAGTTTGTTAATTAGAATTTCTCTTTTTGTCCAAGCAGCGAGACTGGAGTCCATGGAATCAAAAGGAGGGAGTGAAGGGACTTGGGCCAGTCTCTGCTCTTCAGTTAATGATGAACTCTTTCTACAGCAATGCTGGAGTGTGAGGGCTGGGGCTGATGTATAATTCCATGGCTTGGCTCACTGATTTATTCCATCCTTGTCCTTCCTCCAAAGCAGCTCAACTCCACCAAATCCCTTAATCTCCAGCAGCCCAGTCAGGAGCACTGACACATCTCATCCCCAGACCCATATCCAGACAGACATCCATGACAAGGAGGTCTGAGACCATCCCTCATCACGGGAAGCTGGTGGTCACCCTGGGACAAGCCACCTTCTACCACCTTTGTGTTCCCTTTCAGTACTCAAGGGGCAGCAGTGTTCAGTGTTCCTGAACCCCACAGCACAGCACTTAAGGGAGGACAACACAATAAATGGGGATATGGAGGTTAATCATCCTGCCAGAGACAACACAGTACATCTACTGCAGGGTTTGGGCAGAGCCCAAGTTTTCTAACTCCAACCTCCTGCATTCACCACCAGAGAGGACTCTGCATCTCAGCATAAAACCTGAACATAGATCTCAGGATCTGCATGAAAATGCAAAATGTGACCGATGAAGTTGGAATGAATTTTGTCTTCTCTTTGCAGTGGACAGATTTCAGGACAAACAGCAGCTCTAGATGATCTCCTGAAGCCAAAGAACAGATAGAAATTATCCCAGCTCCTTCCATCTCTGGTGAAGGTCTGACTGCCTTGCTATGGTACTCCAGCAAAAGGGAAGACCCTCTGATCTGCCCACCATCTGCTGCAGCTTTGTAAATTATCTACCCAGCTCAGGGCCACAGGTACAGAAACCTCATGGCATCAGACATTCATTGCCACCCAGAACTGCTCCTGGGAGACACCAGCATAGAACTGGCACTGGGAGACAAAATGCAAGGATGAGGAGATACACCAGGGATTTCTTGTGGCTCCTCACACTAAATATTTTCATGTCCTTGCCTAGAGCTGGAGCCATGAAAGACTCTGAAGAGGATGAAGCAATGAGGATGCCATAATCACCCAGCTCAGGACAGGATGAAAAAGGAGGTGCTGAGAAGAGATCTGTTTGGCAGGGATACATGCTTTGTCATGGGAATTTATCCTACAGAAAGCAGGGGAGAGCAGTGCAGGGCCCTCTGCCCTGTGGGATGTGCCATGGGAGCAGAGGAAGGCTGGCTGGGACATAGAGATCAGTGGGTGACACAGCAATGGAGACACCCCAGTTGCTGGGGCTGCAGAAAGGAAGAGATAGCGTGGTGGATGGATCCTTGTTAACCTGGGGAATCTGTTAAATCCTGAAATTTACAGAGTCTGGGATAGGTGAGACAGGAGCACAGGGAAATAACTCACTGAGAGAACAAACAGGGAGAAAACACAATATCCTGCTTTGGGACAGAGCAGAAGCTCTGTAGGTGAAATGCATCTGCAGCAGGACTATAAGAGGATTTCTCTGCTTAAGGACTAACATGCAATGGGTGCTAAGAGAAAGCAAGCACTGATTTTTCTCCTGTATCCCATATCCTCCTTTGCATCTCCCTCTCCGAGGATGCTGATCTGTGGTAGAGAGCAGAGTGCCAGCAGCGTGTGCAGTCCCATGGAGGAGCTGACAGAGGTTTGTACCAAGCCACGAGGAGGCAGACTGCAGGAGAGATTTCTCAGGCAGCCACTCACCTCAGCCCCACACCTGCACCCCTGGAGCTGGAGCTGCTGCAGGGTTCTGCAGCACCCTGGAGCAACCTGCTTTCCTGACTGCTCTCACTCAGCATCCTGCTTCCCACACTCCCTGCTTCAGCTCAGGGACCTTTCAAAACTCTCCTGACAGCATCTCTTGTTTGCCTTCTCTATTCCAGCTCTCAGGGCTGTCAGTCCCCAAATCCAGTTTCCCGAAGATGCTTGGACCTTTTCTGCCTAAACTATGTGGCATGGACAAGACCTGGCCCCATCACAGCCCTGCTGCTCAGATTAGCCCTCCCTGACCCACCTGCAAAGGCCAGAGTGTTCTCCTCCTCCAGGAACCGAGCCACTCACCTCCAGTCACTGTCTCATCGCTGGCCAGAACGGAGCGCTTGGTCCTCTCCACTCTCTGGAAGTCCACCTGTGGCAAAGGAGTAGAAAGCACTTTTCCTCAACTGTCCTCGGAGAAGAGAAGAAGTCAGGTGAGGATGTGGGCTGCTGGAGAGTGTTTCATCGCCAGGAGTAGCTTTGGAACCCCTCCCTGAGCACCCGGAGAGCTTCCTCTCGCAGGGCGACTGACAGCCCTGTCTCACAAAGCTGGATGCTGTCTTCGCTCCTGAATGAGAGAAAGGCAGAGAGCGTGTGTTTAACAAACAGCAATGGAAAGGGGGAGGGAGCCTGCCGCTGCTGTTTATACAGTGTTCAGCCACTGAGGGGCTTCTTGCATCGAGAAGAGAGAAGCTTTTCCACCACATCGAGTTTCCTCTCCAGGGAGAAGTGCTGGGAGCTGGAGCTCTGCTCCCCGTCCACACCACAGACCTGGACAAGTGTTATCTGCCCTCACTCCACAGCTGTCCCATCTCCTCAAGCTTTAAACTTATTGGGACTGGAATGTCCAGAGGGGGATCTCCCCTACAGCAAGAGGTCTGCAGGTCCTGCAGCTCAGCAGAGCTTACACAGACCTTCCTGCTCCCTCCTCTCAGTGTTTGCACAGTGCACAGAGCAATCTGCAGCTGTGGGATGGGACTTCAGAGACTCCAGAGATACAAACAGAAGTAATGCTGGAAAGGTTTAACCACCTGGCAGTGGCTTGGTCTGGTCCAGAGACAGATTTATTGTGGACATGGAAACTGAGTGACTTTCAATTTTAGGATGCTCAGCTTTGTTCAGACACCTGAAGCAAGTAAGAGGGAGAGACAGAAAAGCAGCATCCTTGTGTCCAAATCTGCAAAATTCAAGCTTGCTGGAGCCCAGGAAAGCACTCTAAAGGCAACACAGGGAAGCAGATAAGCACAGATAAGCCCTGCCTGTTCAAAGATTTTGCTCTTAAGGAGAAATCATGCGTATTCTTAGCATAGGATTTCCGACTCAGGCAATGTGTGAATTTGCAGCTCATCTGGGCTAGGAGATGCTCCCACAGGCTGAGAGGAAGGACACCTCTCCTTGGCTTTAAGTACCTACAGCTGGAATTTTATCAGAGAATTCTTGTTGTTTATCCCCATATTGAACTTTGGTCTCCTTTTCTTTGTGAGAACAGGGAGGCTTTTCAACGACCTCTTTATGCCAAAAAGTCACAATACACCAGGAAAAAGAAAACACTCTAATGGCTCAGCAGAAAAAAAGGAATGAGAACATTCCTGAAATCACATGGAAAGTGACACTTGAACCCAAGACTTGGACAAGAGTCCTTGTAAGTCCCATCCTTCCCCCTCCTGTGTCTGTCTCCCCTTCAGAAAGGAAAGGACTAGGCATGAAATCCACCAGCTGTGCTAACTGGATTTTTGTGGGAGTTTCATGTCTTTTCCCCCTAAGGCTATTGATTTAACAACTCAGGAAATCTGGGAGTGGAGGGAAGCAGGACAAAACAAAACTGCTTGGAAAAAGCCATTGCTGTCTCCCAGTGGTCTGCAGAGAGAGGCAAAGAGCAGCTAAGCAAAGTGAGTGGTGCATGCTATTCCCCCTGTTCCTAGTGGATGGATACTCCTCCTCTCCAGGGAGGAGATAATTTATCTTCAGGTCAAGATTATTTTCTTCCTCCTTTCTCTTCTGTGTGACATTTTTCTTGCTTGCTCCCCAGATTCCTTTGCTACCACTCCCCACTCTTCTCTTCCCAGGGCTGAAATAAGATGCCTGGGGAGAAGGCAGTGATTGACAGGAGAGAAATTTGTGCAGCCTGAAGCTGTGAAGCTTCATCAGGATCATGGGGTGAATTCCAGTCATTTTTGGCACGTGGTCTTTGCTGGATGATAGCAAATACAAACTCTTAAATCATGGATTAGTCAGTGCAAGTCCCCAAGATGTCCTCTCCCATGGTCTAAGGGGTCCAGTGGAGCCCCGAAGCCTGCTCTGCTCCAAAACATCACCTCAGCTTTTCAACCAGACTGAGCAGTGCAAAAAGGTGAAGTTGAGCTCTCAGCACACCTGACTGTCATCCCAAATGGTACCCACCAATCTGGAGTTTGGTCCCCAGCCCCTGGGTGCTCCCATGCCCTGTCCCTGGGAGCCAGGCTCTTCTCACAATGCACAGACACAGGCTGCCTGCCAGTCTGCCTAATCTCACCTAGCTACAACAGAATTATAGCCAGCAGTGGCTGCAGCATAGCCTTGGCTTCTCTACAGGGAAGGGACACCTGGGGGCTGCAGTGCCAGACCCCTCACACTCCTGGTGGGTTCAGAGGAGCAGTCACTGCACTAACTGCAGCAGCCTGAACACCAAGGTACAAAACAACCTCCCCACACAGCTTGCAGATCCCAAAGCAGCTGAGTGTCTTCCAAACCCCAGCCATCAACACTCTGAAGGAGGAGAATGGAGGAATACAGAGATGCTGTGCTGTCCTGGGGTGTGGAAGGCTGTGCAGCCCCAAGCAGAGATGCCAGAACCCACTGCATGCACTGTTGTAATCTCAAGCCTGGGGTATTTTCACACATAGGTTGGTTGCCCACAGGTATCCTGCATAGGTGTCCCAGGAGCCTCATGTCCTTACAGACATGATGGGGTCATTCAAAGGATCTTTGCAGCTCAAAAGCCTTTCCCAGTGGTTGGGCTTTCATTAGGCAAAAGCAAGTCTGCTCAACCATGCTTCTGAGAAATACAACAATGAATTTTGTACTCCAGGGAGCAAAAATTATGTCAAAAGTCTGAGAAATGGGGCAGAGGGCTGTCTTTTGATCTGTAATCTGCTCTGCCTCAGTGAGCAGGCAGGTCCTCAGTCTGACCACCTTGCAACTGTAAGCCATCTGCTGTAGTTTAACTTCTGTCAGAAAAGGAAGGTGGATTATCTGTTCACTCCCTGGGAGGAATCTCTAAGAAAACTGTTACCAAGGCTTCCAGATGCTCTGGTTCATCCTGCTTCATCTGGAGCAGCAACAGTGACATACTTTAAAGAGCAGCTTTTCATTTTTTAAACATCTGTTTAATTCCACCTGCATGTAACCAAAATATTTCCACTGCTCCTTCCTGAGGTGTCATGCCTGTGTTTTCCTGAGCAGTCTCCAAAGTATCAGTAAGTTTTGGTAACACAAAAGCCCCTTTTCCATTTGAACCCCAGAGTTCACGGATGCAGTGGATTTGGGAGTCTGATGCATTTGGTAACTAAATGAGCAACAAAGAGACTCAGGGGTGGGAGGGCGGATAGAAAGCTGTCTGTACCCTCTCTGAATTTAAAAACCAGTTCTCATTTCATAACAGCTTTTTGTCCCCATGTGAACATTCCTGGAATCAGCGAAGGAGCAGAGACACCATCAGGGACAAGGTTTGGCTAAAATATCTGAGCTATCTGACTGATAGTGAGTGCCAGTGAGAGGCACTTGAGAAGCAGGAGGAGAGATGAACCATGGGTTGGCCTGGGACTGGCCTGGCTCTGCCACAGCTCTGCTCAACTTCAGGGCAGGCAGAAGTCAGGGGTGCTGAGTGTGTCTGCAGGATGAGGGTCAGTGAGTCAGGAAGGAGATGATCATATGGAAAAAAAAAAAATGTCCTGCTGAACACATCACCACACTTCAGCTCCTCCCCCACTAGGGGCAAACCCACAGGGCTCCTTTGATTAAGTCAATTAATGCCTAGGAAGGTTTACCCCTTCCACCCCCTTTCCACCCCTGGATCTCACTCTGACACACAAAATCTCCTTTATCATCCTCACATCAAGACAAGACTCCAGGCAGTTTCTCCAGGCAGACATCAGCACTGCTGAGCCCAGAACTGGCCCCTGCATTTAGCTGCCATTTCTGCAAGTCACTGCTCTCAAAGCTTTGTTAATTTATTAGAGGGTTGCTTGTTGTTTGTGTACTGAGCCAGGTAGAAAACAGCTTCTGCATAAGAGGATAATTGCAGTGAGATAAGCTCTTCAGAGCTGGGATTGCAAAAATACGATACGATGTAGACCAGCAGTTGTCTGGGTAAAATAGAAACATGGATGAGTTTTTGGGTTGGAACATTCTTCCCCCATCTATCACAGATTCCCTGTCTGCCTCTGGGCAAATCATTTGATGTATCTCAATTCTCTGTACATAAAAAAGGTGATAAAAATGCTTCACTCTGGCAAACTCACCCCTGGAGCAGAGAACCTGGTACTTGGATGTGCAGCAGTGGCAGCTGCTTTCCCAATTTGCCCTATGGGATTTCTTTCTAAGTTGCCCATCTCATTTAGGCAGTGTGTTCTGTCATCAGGGTCTTGCTCTCACAGACTGGATACTCCTGCTTCACAGTCCCACAAAGAAATTTTTGCCCTGGCTGTCGCTCCTGAGATGACAAACAGGGCTATAAATGCTGGATTGCGTGATGACAGCAGGCACTGCTGGATGGGCTGATGGCAGCCTCAGCCTAAACTCTTCCAAAGCATCAAGACTGAAAGTGATGCAAGTGGCTGGAAAATTCAGAGCATGACTTGGTTTCTATGGGCACGGTGCTGCCAAAAGGCACCAGGTATCCAGGAGCTGGGATCCAGTTCTCAGCACCAGTGTAGCAGCACCAGGGTCATGTTTGCTGCTTCACTGCCTTGTTCCATCTTTTCTGTTCCTGTGGAGACCCACATCAGCTGTGGGCAGGGAGCAGGTCACCCATGCCCTGCTCAGCTCAGCAGTGCTGGGCTGGCAAAAGTGTTTGAGCACAGGAGGGTCAGATCCACTCCTGAGATAAAGCCAGGGATTTGTCTGAAAATCCATTTGGCTCCGTGTTCCCGAGAAACATGACTCACAAGCCAGTGTCTGACACTGAGAGATAGGTATGACACCGAGTGCCCCATGGGGAAAAGCTGTGTCCCCGGGGTATGAGCAGAGCCCTCCGGAGCTGAGCAGAGATCGTGCTGGAATGCACAAAGCCTTATAAAGGCAGTGCTCTGGGTTTGTCCTTCTCTCAGCTCTTCAGGCGATGAAAAGGACGACTCACAGCCCTAATTAGCTGGAACATGCTAATACCACTGAGCTTCCCTGGCCAGCAAATTTGGCACAAGGCATATGGGACACTTTCCAAACAACTGCTCAGGGGAGCACGTGCCTGCAATTTATTATTCGATGAGCGGTTTCCTCTCTGCCTTCGCTGAAGAGCTCACACCAGACACGAGGGAGGTGAGTCTGGAGCCTGCAAATCTACTTTGAAAACCATTTCGTGCTGAAGAGAGAAGAGACTTATTTCTCCCCAGGCATTTAAGATATTTAAGGTATCAGGGGAAATATGGCTTTGCACAGCATTACCTCTGGGAGCACTCAGTGCCTTCAAATGGCGCAGCTTGTAGTGCTCAGCTTCTCATGGGGAAAAGCACGTTCCTTCAGGGTGACATTCACTCTGGGCATAAGATGCAGGACCAGAGTGTGCATTGTTATTTTGCAGAGTAAAGCAGAAGAGCACAGCCAGCCCAGGTATCTGGAGAAAGGGGAAAGGTAGCAGGGGCTCTGGTGCTGTGTTTCCAGGGTGGGTTATTCCCTCTTATGACAACTGTCCTGGGCAAGGCAATACCCCAGCTTATTGCCCTGAAAAAGGAGTAGGAAGGAGCCTCCTTGTCTCCTATTACAAATAAATCAGTTTGTGAGCTTTGGATGGGAAACAAAGGGCAGGCCTTTGAAAAAGATCAATTAATTCCTGTGGTAAGATCATCACTCTCAGTATTTACTGTAGTGCCAAAACCAGAGGCAGGAGCTGCAGCCTCCTGAATGCCACCACTTGCCCCTGGCCTAGCCTCTAGCCTGCTCCCATGGCAGCCCTGGCCCCAGGACTGTTCAGGACAGCTCTGACACAAAGTTTGAGTGGCAGTGAGCTGCCCAGCCAAGCACTGCCACAACCTCATCAGTACAGACACTGGGAAGAGCTCAGGTTTGTGCAATGTTCCCAGGACTACTCTGGTTTGACCTGCCCCTCTCCTTGGCATCACCTGCAGCCGTCGCTGCGTGGTTGGGCAGGGCACTCTGTGCTGACTAAGGACACATCTCTCCCTGCTCCCTCCCCATCACATCCTTTGCAAACATTTGTTGTTATGGTGACAGCTCCAGAAAGAAAAATAGTTTTGAAGATCTTTCATATTTTTTAAGAAAGGTGCAGCCACTTTAATTATTTTCTTTAAGAGAGATGGTTGACTTGTTCAATGGCAACTGAATTTCTTTAATTTTGTTTCTGGTGGCCACTTTGGTGATTCTCGGGCTCTGGCTTTCAGTGTGTGGCTGTAAGTGGAAGGGGGAGTAGAGCCAGGTTGTAAAGATCTGCTTTAAAATCCTCTTGGGAGCACAGGAGATGCCTCCAGGCTGAGGCTGCTGAGCTGCAGGCAGTGTGGAGTCTGAGTTTCTCCAAAATGAATGAGATTTTGGAACACATCTGCATCTTTCTCAGATAGCAGAGTGGAAAATAAATAGCAAAGGGAAACATTTATGCCCAATAACCTGTGCTGTGTCTGAAATGCTGCACTGGCAAATACTGTTCTTGTGAAATCTTCTGCAGAAGTGTCCCTTGGCTTTTGA